AGCGGACAGCACCCTGGACTTGTGATCCTGTGGTCCTGGGGTCGATCCCGGGCGCCGGTGAGAAACAATGGGCAGAGTTTCTTTCACCCTATGCCCCTGTTACCTAGCAGTAAAATAGGTACCTGGGTGTTAGTCAGCTGTCACGGGCTGCTTCCTGGGGGTGGAGGCCTGGTCGAGGACCGGGCCGCGGGGACACTAAAGCCCCGAAATCATCTCAAGATAACCTGTGCTGATAAAAGCTGTTTTTCCTGTTGGATCACTAACCCCTCAAAACCTAGTAATTTGCTACTGAAATGGTCATACTTTCTCACAATTTGCTGTTTGCTACATGAGAGTTTGCTATAATATCTAATTTTGCCAACTTGTTGTGTAGACTGCTTATGTCAATGCTTTCTTCATTGAAACCACCAAACTCTAGCTCTGTTTTGTTTTTCTTCTTGCCGGCGGCCATCTTGAATTTCGTCACCTGCACTGTTAACACTGGGGCAACTTTTTCTCATCCAATTATTTCATTTCCCCTTGCACATTCGTGTTATGTCGCCTATTTTTTAAAAGCACCAGACCTTTATGTTCCTTGGGACACCACTCACTGTCATCAACCTGTTCTACAATACTTAGGAATTTTGAAATATTCTGGAGCTACACTGATGCAGGTGTTGACACAAAGGGTGTCACCTTTCACCTCCTATCTTTCAGTGGTAGATAGTTGGCACAAGTGAGAAGGTGGTGAGTGTTAAAAAATAAAAGTCAGTAGCTTCAAAGCATTATATGACAAGAGTGCTGGGAAGATGGGATACCACGAGCATAGCAATCACCCCATAACTACACTTATTAAACACAAATACTTTCTCTCTTTGATATTCATTTATTGTTGCCTGATATTCCTTCTAATTTAAAAATATGCTTTTCATAAACACCTATAATAAAACTTTATAAATGGAACTAAATACAGTGGAACCTCGGTCTACGAATACACCAGAGTACAAATTTTTCAGAGTATGATGTCAATTGTGTCGTAAAATTTGACCCAGTGAATGACGTTTGCTTCGGAGTATGACCTGTTTGTTGATACTCCACTTGTATGGGTCAGACGTGTTTGGATTCCGCAGGCTGCGGGGTGAGGCTCGCTCAGTTTAACAGTGTATCACGCCTAGTGACGGCAACACTTTACTTTTTTTGTGAAGAATTTCATTGTTTTTCCTGTTTTTTTGGGGGGGTTTATGAACAGAAAAGTTCTTATTATATATCATGCCATGAGTCCCAAGAAAGACAATGATAAAATTCAACCTAAGAAAATAGTTGTGAGGATGATGATAGAGGAAAAAAAAAATATAATTCATAAACATGAACACGGTATGCATATGGTTGATTTGGCTAGGAAAATATATTCAGTATGGGAAGAACTGCAAAGTTTTGCTGAAGAGGTTCACCCTGAGCTGTAGCAAGCCATTGTGTTACCCATTTTAATGACAATGTAATAATCACTACAGCCAAGTGTTAAAATGTAAGGAATATAGACAGATTCTTAGTAAGACAAACAAGCAGTGAGCCACAACCAGACCCTAGTGGTATGCCTACAAAAGTAGGAGAGAAAGTACCCCAGAAATGTCATCAGTGCCTGATGTTATAAAGGAAAGGGATTCCTCTTCCAAATACTAACACCTCCTCTCCTCAGCGTCTTCCATATGCCAACGAGTTCTCAATAAAGGTAAAGTACAGTAAAAAATATGAGTAGTATTCTATATAAAATGTATTTTTAAGTTAATATTTTTGGGTGTGTGGAACGGATAATTTCAATTTACATTATTAGTTATGGAAAAATTTGTTTCTGTATACAATCCATCTCTTGGAATGGATCAAATTCGTAGACTGAGGTTCCATTGTATAAGTAATTCAGTAAAAAATATAAACAGTAATTATAAATAATAGTATGGTTACAAATTATGGCAATAAGGTAGCTAGTACTGTATTCAAAATTTGTTACTGTGCAACCCAGTGGTAAGTATTTCATGACCCCATACTTTGGAGAACCCTGCTCTACAGTACTGTACTCGCACTAGGTAAGTAAAGTAGGTAACTGGCTGGAACCCCATGTGGTTTGGGCTACCATCTGATAGCAGTTGGGTACATCAAAGTTAGAGCTGCTTGAAAAGAACAATAATCATTTACTTTGCTGGCCTCAGAATTTATTTACTTGATGGGATACCTAGTGGTACCAAGGGCTTACTCTCCCCCTTCTCCCATTTACCCGATCAGTCTATGACACACACACACACACACTGCCAATGTGTACTCTTGAAAAGTTGAATGAAACTAGCCCCGAGCATCTGGCCTTCAACTTTTGACACACAGGCAGACAAACATTCTCCTTAATATCATAGATATACAGTGGCGCCTCGATTAACGAACTTAATCCGTTCCGGCACTGAGCTCGTCATGTGAAACGCTCGTCTTGCAAAACAACAACATTGTCGTCAGAGGTGTCCAAGAACCAGTGGGAATGCTAGGAAGCACCACGTGGTTTGCTCGTTAATCCAGACCAATTTTCTGCAAGTGGCTCGCTTGTTACTTGAAATGCTTGTAACTGGAGTCGCTAGTCACTCGAGGTTCCACTGTAGTGCAGTACAGTAGTTTATTTTACTTTGCTCATTTTTCTGGTGGGTTGTTCTTGGTTTTGGGTTGACCTCTGATCCTCAATATTCCCTCACCTTGTATAGAGTGCCAGATTCTGGTCCTGGCTCCTGGTAGATCAGTGTGGGGGTCTTGGAGGTCTGGTGCAAATCTCAAGGTTTTGCTTCACAAGAATTACAAGGGAGGCCACTCAGAAAAAGTTGTTTTCTGAGCAGCATACTTGCATGCTCCTGTTCTTTCCCTTTTATTCTTGTTTTTCCTGTATTTTCTATGCTGTTAATAACATCTTAGCATTCCAATGATGATACAGCGTCTTATCCATACTTGGACAGTACGTAAATGTTCTGAGGATGCTAAAAGGCATCATCCATCTTGAAATTCTCAAAAATATTTATATTTTTTTAGCATAGTGTGGGCATAGCTTATCAGGGAGCCAACCAAAGAATCAGGAGACCATTCACAGACAACCTCGGCCAACTATCTAGCCCTCAAGATCATAATTAATCTGCCTGTGAGAATTTTCACTATGCTGTACAATTTACCTGTTGGAGAAGTATGAGTTGTTTATTTTCTTTTTACACAAACAGATTATTTGTACACATTTCCAAATTTTTTACTTTTATTTATGTTGAAAAATAAATGAGGAATATTGAGAAATATACTGTATTAGGAATGTTGAAACGTTAAACAAAAAAAAATTATATATTCAGCCCCAATACACAAATTGTATTATCAAATCTTACTTTATTTTATTTTGCATGTATACTCTAACAAATTCATTTGCAAATATTTTGACACCATATTTAGAGTAATAACCCTGAAACGAACCAAGAAACACATTTAAAAAAGTATAAACATTTTAAGTGTCAAAGAGCGGGGTACTGAGATGCCAAGAACGTTTGCAGTCGGAAAGGTGCCACCGAGTCGGAACATCAAAGTGTTCATATAAAGTATAACATTAAGAGACCATGTCAGTAAAATCTGTTAATGTGTCAGTGGTACTACCTGATGGCAGTCTGTAGTAGCAGCCAGGTGAGCCAAACTGGCAATTTGAAAGAGCTCTACTTTGTGCTCCATGTGATGCAAGGTAGACCTTACAAGGGCTGAATTAAATGCTCTACAATGTGTCTCCTGCGGGGATGTTTGAAAAGACCTCTTCTGCGTTAGTGTGGAATGTTGACCTGCCTTGAATGTGAATGATACTGTCCAATGGACCAGCAGGACCTTGACTACCTAAACAAACAACCAAATATCCTGCTCAAAAAAAAAAAAAGAGCATTTCAAGTACATGTACTGTAATGCATTGTACATTAAAAACCTGATTTTTAAAACTTATATCTAAATATACAGTCTGTATTTACATAGTTTTATACATAAATCATGTTAAATAAAACACAAAACAATAATGAGCAAATAAAACCATATCGAGAATGTTTAGCAGTCATTCTGGTGCTAGAATTGTAAAATGTCTTACAATCATGCATCCCATCCATACTGGATTTTAAATTCTCTATTATAATGTCTGTGAAGTTTTGGTCTCAGCCCTCACACACACACAAAAAAAAAATGCAACAGATTTGAAGAAAGCAGCAATAAGGGAAAATAATAAATATATATAGGTAATTATTATCTGGTTCCTAAACACAATAGCAATATACCAATTATTATGGAAAAAGAAAAGCAGTAGCACTAAAGCTATGAGCTCTATAATGTCTTCTGTGCAGTACCATCACCATTTGTATTTTACAAGCCCACCATCTACCTTGTATCATTGTTAACAATCTACACAATACTATCAAGTCATGCTTTACTTCTAGAGAACTTACACTAAGGTCTATGAGTGTTCTGTAACGTTTCTAGTTAATGTAATATACAAAGTTACTACACTGAAAATGTTGGAGAATATATCAAGTCAAGCAGCCAACGAAATGAGCAACTAGTTTAACAAGTATTATACACAATCCTTCACCACAAATTACAATTTTAACTCCTCATTAATAGTTTAAATATTATATACTGTACTTTGCATACTAAATGGAGTACAGTACATGTCAATTTGCATGCAAACTCAACAAATTTCATCACTGTCATACATTTAATAATAATGTTTGTGGCTAGAAATCAACCGTTTTATCCCAACCACCAAATTTAATGCACAAAAATGCAAACTAATTATGGGTAGCAAATTGCAAAGTATTTCAACGTTATTAGGTTCTGCTTATTAGGTTCTTGAGTCAATTTAATATCTGGAGACAATATTATCATTAGAACACTTATTACTCAAATGCAAACACATTTGACTTCAAGAAATTAAAATAAACTTTGCAATTTGCATCCCGTGTAAACCATCACCTGTTAGTGCCCTTTACCTAATGCCCTCTATGTAGCGAGGGTGCACAGTTACAGTGCTATTTAAGAGATAGAAGGAGAAGAAACCGCAGAACATTCCCGTTCCTAAGGTTAGAATGAAGCTGCGGCTTATGCCCATTGTGACTCCTGCAAATAGAATAGGTGCATGTCAGTAATTACGTCATTCACTAATTGTTTGTTTTTTTACAGGAGAGGAAATAGATACCACATTAAAAGACCGATATTAAATAATTAGATAAGCAACTGCTTTATGAATAACTAATAACAATAGCAGCCTTTGTCTCTTGATATTTACTGTAGCATAGGATTGGGGTTGCCAAGAATTAATCAGTGCATCTGTATCTCATGTCAAGCATTCAGAGATAAACTGAAAAAAGTAATACAGTATTGTATATGAAAGCAGCGTATGTTAAAAAGATGCATCCATTTCTTTTAATGGTTCATCAAGGCTGTTTACATATAGTCTCCTAAGTCAACTGCCCTTCGATAGAAAAGATGTAGAAGAACCACAATTAATAAATGAAAATAATTTTGAATAAAGCCAATTGCAGCCATGAGCTAGTGCACAAGGTGTCACACTTGTATGTGTTGTGGTGCTGTTGCAGGTGACATCAATGATTTAGCTGGCAAACATTCAGAAAAATTATTTGCAAATCAAAAGTCAAACATTAGTTTATAAGACTACTGTAAACTGTAGCATTATTCCTTAATCCGTATGAACTCCTTGCATTATAGAATCTGTCTTTTCAGGAAACAAATACTGTATTGTGTTTAAACTGAAATATTCTGTACACCGTTGGTGCCATTTATGTTAATACAGTATTAAATATCTTCAATAACAATTAGATACAAATTTATCATTTAGGGTGACTGAGGGAGGTATTGTCACTTCCTTAAACAATACTATATTGTATACCTTAAAAGTAATTAAGAAATTATTTTCAAAAACAAGCTTATTCCTTGTGTCTGTCTGCGATAAAGTCATGAATTGCATTATGTAAGAGTACATCAAATTCCATGGCTCTGATGAGTTCATGCAAAAATTCATTATGTGCAAGTATTGCAATGTGCAACTGAAACCCAAAATGGTAAAATACATTACATGCTCTTATTTCTAATACTTATTTTACTGTATTTATTTGATCAAATGAACACTGATACATAGGGAAAATTCAAGCATTAACTGCAATGAAATTCTCCTTTCTAGTAGCTCCCCAAGGTAAGTGATGGTCCAGACTTTAGGTTCATGTTTGTTCCCAAAGTTCCTTTCACCCTGTAAAGAGGGCCAAATTCTGGTCCTGGCTCCTAGTGTGAGATAATACGCAGAGGCCTGGTGTTTTCTCACCGAGGCTTTGCTGGACCAACGCTTCACACAGAGAGCCACTGAACCACTCAAAATGTCTTAAACAATGCAAAAAGAAGGCAGCAGCCGAAAAAATGTTAATGTAAATACATTATGTGCAATTTCACCAGCATCCATAGTGTGGTGCAAACAGCCCCATATCCCATGCAATGTGTGAAGATTGAGCCTATCTTCCAAAGTTTATCTCCATGGTGGTTCAATGTACACATGGGTGAGGTCACGAGGTTAAAGTAAAGAATACTTAACCCCTGCACTACTCACCATTTAAATATGACAAGCCCATGGTGCTCACAAAAGCAATTGTTCTGAAATTTGTTCTTTTCTTTTGATATTGTTAATTAGCATCCATGAAGCACAAAAATCCAAGTAAAACCTGTCTACCTCTTGTAGTTTAGCTGTAGGGGCCTAGCGAAGTTGTGACTTTTTGGCAGAAATGAAGCGAGTTGCTGCATGGAAATAACTTTGTTGATATATTTTCATTGTTTCTCACTTATATACAGTTTTTTTTTTTTTTGTTCTAACAAGTTATATGGGTATGTCAAAGTTGTTCATTATGTATAAATTTGAAAATATACATACATACAGATATATGTGTATATCACTACAATCACATTACATGGTACTGTACATCTTTCTGCAGCAATATTTTTCATACATCCCATTACTTCTCAATGGCTTCTTGACAGTTTCACTTAACCATACTATTCCTCTCCTTCCTTCCTTCCTCCAACTTACAGAACACATTTTGCATTCAAATTCTCAAACATTTCTCTTTATGTCACCAAATAATTTGCCTATTCCTTCATCAACGTCCTTACATTTAGACACTTGCTAAATTCCCATGGTTGGAAAAGCTATGTCTTTCTTCCCTAAATTTTTCACAGCTGTGCATAATAATCTGACCCACACACACACAATGTCTCCCACTATCCCTGCATCTTTCAAACTACTTTTAAATTTTCTTCCTATATGCATATATTCAAATTCATTTGCTACATCCCGCCAAACACACACCGAAACTACGACGTTGGTGCAACGTTCCAACAAGTTTTAACACTTCCTAACCAGTTATAACAACCAATATAACAAGTTGTAACAACGTTCTAATACGTCATAAACACGTTAAGCCAAGATGTAACAACTTTATTACAAGTTGTAACAAGCGGAAAATAGAGACAGTTTCGGTTTGTGTTTCCAGGGATTGCATCCCCCTACCCTTTTCCTTAAAATTCACCTTTCTATGACCAATGCTTGAAGAACATATTTGGCAGGAACAAACCCCTCTCTGAACACCCTTCACTGTTAACAGTTTATATGGTAATGATTCATAATACTTACTGCGAAATATAACCCCCATATCTAATGTTTAAAGTGTCACAGATGCATCGGCAACACAGTGTAGACCAGAACCTTACTAAGAAGCCTGACACTGTGAGAGGAATCACATTAATGTTGCCAACTTTGGAATAAAAATTAATATCTGAATATTGTAGGACCAAATAATAAATAGCCATTTTTTTTATCGTATAAATAAAATAAATATACAAAATTTTAAATCATAAAAATATGACAAATGCAGAATATAAATTTTAGAAAACAAAAAAAATTTACCCAAGTTATACATTAGCCATAGAAAGAACCTTATCTTATCATATCAGCAAAACCTGAAAAAGCTTATCTTCAGCTGCACAACACACAATGCATGGCATACTGTATAATACATACAATACTCAACTTCAGTAACTAACTCCTAAATAATAAGTACTGTACTCTAGTCATTGTTAATGCATTGTTAATGCAATTATTGCAAGTATTCATCGTGAGAGAGTGGAACTGCTTGAGGAATGAGCCGTTGATAAGAAAAACAAGGGAATGTCATCGATACAAATCAAACGAGAAAGAGGCAAGAAAATTGAGGTACTATACAGTATGAGAATAAAATGTACAATACTATGATGATATTAAACAGAAAACTCAGGCAAATGGGGGAGAAAAATTTAAGAAACTTATCAAATAACAGGAAGCTCTTTAAGAAAGAAATAAGAAAATGCAGGACAGATGAGAGATTGGTAAATGGATAAAGGGCAACTTTAAAAATAAACAGGGGAGAATGTTAAATGGTGACAAGGAAATTTAAAATATGTGGAAAGAACACTTTATTGAGTGCAAGTGGTGAAAAAGGTGCTTATGTGTACATGATAGGATTTAAGTGAGAAAAGTGACATAATAATACACCATCTGATAAATCTATAGAAGATGTTGTAATAGATTCAGCTACATGGAACAAGTTCCAAGTAGCACGGGCTATGGTGAGCCCGTATCTCACCTGGCACAGGAGCGGCGCAAGTAGTATGGGCTATGGTGAGCCCGTAGTGGTCTTACCTGGCACAGGAGCGGTGCCCATCTAGTTGCCGTTGGACCAAATGGTTGTCTATAGAAGAGTTGAGTATATTACAATGGGAGGAAAGCAGCAGATCTTGATATATATGCAGACATTATCAAAAGTTACTTTCTCATTGTCAAGGAGAGAAAGCCTGTTTGGCTCATCAAAGTCCCTCCTAAGGATTGGTCAATGACTACCCATTCACAGGATGCAACCTACAACAGCTATCTCCGAGGTATCTATTTACTGCTAGATGAATAGAGGAATCAGGTATAGGGAAATGAAGCCAAATGTCCTGCCCTACCAGGGAATCAAACTAGTAATTATCTAAATCTAGTTATAAAATGAAAGCTACATTCATGGTGTCCCGTTTTCCAGCACTCTGTCTTAAAACACTTTGAAACTACATGTACTGACGGTTTTGGCCTCCACTAACTTTTCGCTTAACTTGTTCCAACCATCTACCATTCTGTTTGCAGAAGTGCACTTTCTAATGTTCTTTCACGAGCTTTGTTTAGTTTGCTTCCTGCTCTTTAAGTTCCAGGTCTCAAAAATTCTTCTTTTTCAATTTTGTCAATTCATATTATTTTTTGTATATATAGAGATCATATCGCCTCTTTCTTATATCTTCTAGCTTTAGCATATTTAATGCCTCTTAACATAGTTCATGTCTTTCAGTTCCGGAAGCCACTCAGTTGCATGTGTTTGCACCTTTTCCAGTTTACTGATGTGCTTCTTGAGATATAGGCACCATACAACCTCTGCATACTCCAACTTTGGTGTCACAGGTCATGAACAATTTCTTTAGTATTTTGCCATACATGTACAAAAGCAATTTAAAAGCAATTCTGAAATTGGAAAGTGAAACACAGGTTCTTCACACAATGTTCTTCAAGTGGTCCTCATGGAAGTTTTCTATCTAGAACCACCCCTAGTTCTCTTTCTTCATCAAAATTTTTTCACATAATTTGTAGGATGTATTTAGCCTATTTTATCCTATTCCACATTCCATAATAAAGCAGTTATTCACATTAAATTCCATTTGCAGAGTGTTGCTCCATACAATTATTTTGTCCAGGTCTTGAAGGGCATGAATGGCATGATAATGTCTAAGTTTCTTATCTTTCCTTGTATCTTAGCATCTTTAGCAAACATGTTCGTATAATTCTGTATTCTTTCCGGTAGATCGCCTACGTAGATAATGAACATTACTGGTGCAAGAACTGAACCTTGTGGTACTCCATTAGTGACATTTGCCCAGTCAGCCCAGTGTGGTACGGTACATTGCCTCTGATTACTGCTTTCATTTTTTTCTGTTAGAACATTTTTTCATCCATGTTAGAAGCCTACTTGTCACTCCTCCAGTATGTTTCAGTTTCCAGAACAACCTCTTATGTAGGACTGTGTCAGAAGCCCTTTTTAGGTCTAGATAAATGCAGTCAACCCACCCATCTCTTTCCTGTAAAATCTCTGTGGCTCTGTCATAAAAAGTAAGTACAGAACATTTGTTACACAGCATCTTCCTGAAAGATAACCATACTCTCTGTTATTATATAATTTATCTCCAGATGTTCCACCCATTCAGTTTTAATTTCTTTTCCAATATTTTAACTACTAAACTACTACACTTGTCAATGATACAGATCCAAAATTAAGAGGGTCTTCTCTGATGCCATTTTTGCAGACTTGAACTATGTTAGCCTTTTTTCCATATACTGTACTGTATCTGCCAAAAGACAGAGATGACTGAAAAATCAATTGAAGTGGAATGCCAAGCTCAGGTGTGCATTCTCTCAGATCCCAAGGTGAAACTCCATCTGGGCCAACTGCTTAGCTCCTTGAGCATTATTTCCACTTCATCACTAAACATCTGTTATGTGCTCTATGTTGTTCTCTGAAAATTTAATTTAGCACACACACTTTGGGACTCTTCATTTAGTGTTTGACACATTTCCTTTTCATTCTCCATGAATCTGTTTCCCATTCTCAACTACTGATCCTCTCCAAGATGCAATCTCACAACAGTTGACTAACTCCTGGCTATCTATCTACTGCTAGGTGAACAGAGGCATTAGGTTACAGGAAACGTGCCCAACCATTTCTGTCCCACCCATGATTCGAACCCAGGATTCCAAATTGTGAGTCAAAAGTGAGCCTAATTGTACTACAGAGACTCTAAACATGTCCAAATGTATCACCCTGTCCACCCATGGAATTGAACTCTTTTCAAATTGGTTGTGAGCTGACTGCACTTACCACAGGACTATAAATCTGTTTTTGAAAACCCATTATATTATCAGATCTACTTTACACTATCCATACTTATAAAAATCTGAAAAAAGCATGAATATGCAAATTGATAGTCTACATACCTTGTAACTCAGAGGGCGTCTTCCCCAGTTGCCAGAAAATAGGCCTTCATTACCTATAAGAACAAGCACAATTTCAATAACTAAACATTGTCAATGGCAATAATTCTAGTCGAGCGAGTATAAAAAGAACATTGTAGTAACTCCTTTGTTATACAGATACAATAACTCCTCATAATTCAAATTTTTGTTATCTGAATTTCATTAATATTGTTTGTATACCTTATTTCTTCTCGGTGAAATATGTCAAACGAAACATTTGTACTGTATGGAGCAAGTAACCAAGTCAGTAGACTGACAAATGTCACAGCTTGTGTGCTACTTGGCTACAAGCATATCTGCAGTTTGACTTGTATGGGGAATCTAGATGATATAATTACTTAAGTGCAAATTCTATCCCAACCTTGGTAGGGTCAAGCTAAACCTGCTTCCGACATCAGGGGGTGAAATTCGTTTTGGTGCTTATCTCAGTCCACACACAAGGGAACTAATTAATACCTACCTTATATGACTACACACCTTGCACCATGCTGGGTGCCAAGGCATGAATGTAGCAGTATGGAGGCGAGTGGTGTGCCAGGTCTTTTGATCTTATATGCAAATATCCCTTAAGAGAATTCTATTGCGAACAATTTGATACCAAAATGAACGACATAGCACGAAAATTGAGGTGGGGAAAAGTGAAAAGAATATAAACACTTTTCCCGGCCCAGTTGCACACTGGGCCAGGCAAAGTGTTAAAAATAAAATAAAGAAATCAAGGATCAATAATGGCCTTCAAGGTCCTGCAAAAATAAACCTTGAGAAATGCAACGTTAAATTTACCAGTGAAATTGGGAGACAGTGGGAGGTAATATACAATAAATGGTTACCATTTAGTGAACTTATTGGGGATAAATTAAAAAGTACATTACTTAATAATAGATCACCCTAAATTGAAAATGTTGTCATGGAACATTAATGGTTTAAGAAACAAGAGTTATGGATGTTCATTGTTCTATAATGGGAAATTATATTGATGTTGTGGCCCTCCAGGCCAGAACATCACTGGTCCTTCATAGTCATTGGGGACCTTAATGCTCGGCACACTAGCCTTGGGACAGTGGGAAGTATTACTGCTAATGGGGTCAAGTAGTTACAGTTTCTACAAGATCATCTCTTGGGAAACAATGAACCAACTCACATCAGGGGAGGACGGCTTGACTATGCCTGCATTTTAAACTTTCTAGGGATTATGGGGGAAGTCTTGGGTCATTTGGGAACGACTTAGTGATCACTTTGCCTTGGATGTTGAATTGCCATTGGGAAAATACAAATCTAATTCCAAAGAAAAAGATTATATATTCATTAATAAAGACATGAAAAATTAATTTATTCAAAATACTGTATATAAGATTGGTATTAACAATACACACCTTTCTGCATTGATAGCTTTTACAAGGACACAGTCGAGAACATAAAGAAATTAGTACAGAGGAAAATAACGGGGGGTAGGGGAAGCCAGACACACGGACCTAAGAAATTTAAATATTCTAATGATCAGCAAGTCAAGGTATGAGAGAGAATGATACAGAGCACACATAGAGACTAGTTAAAAAATGGAATGAGGCAAGAAGAGAAAAGTACAATGTTGGCAGTGGCTAGGGAATTCAATCAGGTAAGGAAGGAGGCATGGAACACATACTGGCATGAGTTTGTTCCATCCATTGGTAAAGCTAGAAACCTTAAAGACATGTGGGGAGACGTAAACAAATTCAGGGGTTGCAAGACCAGTCATAGCACACCCAGATCCAGGAAAGGTTGACAAAGAACTAGTAGAAAAGTAGGCTAGTTCTGGTACTATGGAGTCCTTATGCAGACAATGGGTCACAATAACGTGGCTGAAGATATCATGACCAAACCACACAACAGAAGATGAGGACGTTTCGGTCTGTCCTGGACCACTATCAAGTTGATTGTGATGGGAGGAAGTGATTGATTGATGAAGATTAAGCCACTCAAGAGGTGGTACGGGCATGAATAGCCTGTAAGTGATGGATGTGAGGGGAGGCATGGGGCATAAGTAAGGCAAGAGTGAGCTGAGGAGCAGGTGAGACAAGGTAATTTCTAGGAGGCAAGAGCAACGTGAAAAGGTAAGAACAAGAAGAAAAAGGGTATGGCTGGGATGGGTGAAATAATAGGGGGATGGAAGAAAGGGAACGTAAGAGTAAGAGGAAAAAGAATGAGAAAAAAAGAGGGGGGGAGATAAGTTTATGTTGGGTCACATTTGTTAGAAACATGTGAGTATGCATTTGAGTATGTATTGTGAAAGCGAAGTCAATAGCAAAGAAGCCAGGACTAAGGTTCATGTTGGGTAGGTTGTGTATCAGAGCCTATTCAGATACACAACATACAGTATGTTGTGTATGGAGACCTTATCCTTAGACACAAGAAACACCATTGATTCCTGGTAAAATATTAGAAATGGAGTAACTTTATGTGCATTAAATACAGGGTCAGTAACTTGCACTTAGATAACTTACACTGAACTATTGGATGCTATTAAAAGTGGCACCTCTACTGCTCCAGGAGAGGATGGAGTATCATATGACATTCTTAATTATTTATCAGGTATGAAACCTAGTCCCTTACTTGAGTTGTTCAAGTTATAGTGAGGGAAAGTTACCAAGAACATGGAAGGAGGTTGTCATCTTTCCTATATCCAAGTCAAATGGATGTTACAGGCCTGTATCCTTAACATTTTGCTTTTGTAAAATGATGGAATGGATCATGTTAAATAGGCTATTCTACCTTGTAGGAGATATGTCCAATAACCTTTTTGGTTTTATAAAGAGCAAAAGTACTGCAGACTGTCTCAAAGTGTTCATAAAGTGCTCATCTAATGTGGATGACAATTGTAGAGTATTTGTTGATCTGCAAGAGTATCAGAATACACAATTGCATTCTTTTTATCTTGTATCCATACAGTAGACAATTCCAGAGCTTGACTTCCACAATATTACAATATTTAAGTTACAATCGGGCCAATTTTTCAGTCAATTATTAAACTAGCCTCAAGAAAGCACTTGTGACACCATCGCAGATCATACACTATTGTTGCAAATTCAGTAGCAAAATGTTTTAAAGACTTTTTGATATGTCAAAACACAATATACACGGGACTAGCGTATGACTCGTCCAGTACCTCACACCCACGTAGAGAAACACGACTGCTACGGCCTTAAAATGAGCCTTGCAAACAGCACCTACCATCAACAAGAAGAAAGTGAGACAAGAATGATAAGGTATCAACACAGATGATATTTAGTGTCAGGAAACGAACTGTTCTCACTCCTCCCACACCACCACTCACGCCTCCTCTCCCATTATCCCCGCCCGGTTCACCTCTCTGCGCGTGGTTTAATGAACCAGCATTACCTGTAGCACATCTCAGTGGCGTTTTAAGTGGGAAATATCGGGAGTGCGAGGGGGGAGGAGCGCCCTGCACCGTGGCCAAGAGGTCGCCCCGCGGCCACAACACATCTGTTTATCGAGCTAGGGAATAGGAACTCAAGATGCTTTACATTTTTTGAAAGAGCAACCCCATATCTATTTTAGAGCGTGTCATCAACTGAGATAAATATATATCAGTTTATTAATAGCTAATTAGCTATATTGATGCAATCTGTTGTGTATATATAGAGCAATTGTATAAAATAATAGTGTGCTTGTAGTCCACTTCAAGCACAAGCCATCTCCCTTTATTTTTTACGAGGGGATAAGGGTATATTATTAACTATACAAAAATTGTTTTGCAAATTAATTAATTTATTCTGCCTCAGATAATTACAAGAAAGTTGCCATGAGTGATATATATAAAAAACAATGTAGATGCAAAAATGATGTAATCTTGCGAAATAATCTGACGGAAACGCTATGCGTGTTAGTACTCACCTAGTTGTGCTGCGGGGGTTGAGCTTTGGCTCTTTCCTGTGCCTACTGGGCTCTTATCATATTTATTTATTATTTATTTATTTATTTATTTATTTATTTATTTATATACAAGAAGGTACATTGGGTTTATTTGAGTGTTTAGTTCATTTATTATGCACCCAATACCCATCTTGTGGGCATGAGAGTACATAGCATTGATGTTTTTACATTCTTGTAAAACCCTAACACGCATAGTGGCTACATTTGAAACTGTATTCACCTACTTGTACTTGCGGGGGTTGAGCTCTGGCTCTTTCGGCCCGCCTCTCAACTGTCAATCATTTTTTTCCACACACACCCAAGAAGCAGGCCGTAGCAGCTAACTGCCAGGTATACCTATTTACTGGTAGGTGGTCAGGGTGAAAGAAACTCTGCCCATTTGTTTCTGCTATCACCGGTCCGACTACGAATCCCGAGCGCTGTCTACAAAGCCACCAGGCCCCTGGTGGCTGAGAGTATGGAGTCAGTCTCCACCACTTCACTGCCTAATGCATTCCATCTGTTAACTACTTTAGACACTGAAAAAGTTATTTCTAACGTCCCTGTGGCTCATTTGGGTACTCAGTTTCCACCTGTGTCCCCTTGTTCGTCTTCCACCCGTGTTAAAGTTTATCTTTATCTACCCTATCAATTCCTCTGAACACAGTGGCTTTGCAAGAATGTATGAACACCAATGTTATGTACTTGCACAAACCTATTGTACCTTATTTTATATAAATAAATAAATAAAAATACTGTAAATAAATCATCCTAATATACAATTAATTAGTAGATTACATTAAATGAAGTTGACGAGGCCCATTACCTTAAGAAAGCTACTTATGATGCAAGCTTGAACGTCTTTTTTTCTAATTAACAAGCTCAATAATAATAATAATAATAATAATATTATTATTATTATTATTATTTAAAAATATACAAAAGAGTATTATACTGAGGTTTAATAATGGCTTCAAGGTATGTACAGGTCCCAGTACGATAACCATTTACCTGAATTTACCTGATGGCCACTAACACTAGTGGCCTCGTGGAGGACATGAAGCCGGCGGCTTCTCAAAGGTCCCCTCATTTGCCTTTATATTTTCCAGCTGTTCTCACAACAAGGTCAATTTTCGAATAGCTGCAGCGGTACATCACCTGTATGTATAAACTATAAAGGTCCACATTCTACACAACACAATACCTGCCTAATTAGGATAAAAGTACTAAAGTGTCTATGCAACGAACAGTCTTAAACTCACTTTTACGATCTCAACACCCCAGCCATTCCTAACATAAGAACAAACCAAATGTTACACTGGTGCTCTACGAAACTAACACAAAATACAGCACAATCAAAACAACAACACTCTTGTACCAAGTGGTCGGCCATCTTGGCGCGCGGATTGAACGCTCCTGGCTGGACGTTCTTTCCACACCTTACCTGGAACTCATCTTTGAATTCAGCTGGCTTCTTTGGGCCAGTGTGTGCTCACTGCAGCTACCCAGGGGTTCACAGGACCGGGGGAGGCCGGAGCCTCCGTAATGGACGCCTCCCCGAGCGGGGGTGCCATGGATGTTGACAGCAAGTCCCAGAGAGGAAAACGTCTGCTGGAAAATGAGTCGGCTGATGCTGCCCCAGAGCGAGATGCTAAGAGGATGTCTTCCCCTTCAGAAGACCTTAGTCTTGTGGTACCCCGTTCCTCGTTTGTGGTAGTCCTAATCCAGTCAGAATCAGGTCAGTGCGTCTTTGCAAATCCTCGTACCTTAGGTGCAGCAATCGAGGCTTCCACATTGTGGCCACATTGCCTGCCTGAGACCATACGTACCCTGGGTAGGGGTGCAGCACTGAAGCTACATATCAGAAAGGAGGCTCTATCACACATCTGTGTATCCGACATTATTAAGTTGGGGGACTGGCCTGTCAGGTGCCGACAGGTATTGTCACAGGAGGAGGAGTCTCGAGCCCGGTATGGGAAGATTGGCCCAATTGACCAGAGTGTAGATGTGGATGACATCCAGGCCGCTCTGCACGTGTTAGGGGGTGCATCAGCGAGATTATTGGAAGTTACCAGGATTCGCGGAGCAGCAGGGCCGACATCCATGGTCCGTGTAAAGTTCGATGGGCACCTCCCTGACCGAGTGGCACTACACAGGACCTCGTATCAGGTTCAGCCCTACAATTTCCCTGTGTTACGATGACAGTTTCCGTGGTGTAGTGGTAAGACACTCGCCTGGCGTTCCGCGAGCGCTATGTCATGGGTTCGTATCCTGGCCGGGGAGGATTTACTGGGCGCAATTCCTTAACTGTAGCCTCTGTTTAACGCAACAGTAAAATGTGTACTTGGATGAAAAAACGATTCTTCGCGGCAGGGGATCGTATTCCAGGGACCATAGGATTAAGGACTTGCCCGAAACGCTGCGCGTACTAGTGGCTGTACAAGAATGTAACAACTCTTGTATATATCTCAAAAAAAAAAAAAAAAAAAAAATCTATTGGGCCAGTCGCCTGACCTGCCGTAATGCAGCACGTTGTGCAAACTGCGGCAAAACAGGCCATTCAGACAGAGATAACGGTGGGTGCTCTGCTGCACCTCGCTGCTTTTTATGCCATGGCCATCATAAGGTTACGTCTAAGAGTTGCCCTGTATATCTTGAGGCCCTCCAGTTGGACATCGATCATAAAACCTCGACATGAGCTGTTCCAGAAGTTGCGCACCCTCAATCAGCCTATCGCTTCTCGCCTCCAGGTTCCCCCTAGTCGGGTCTCTTCACAAGTAGGAACTAGCAGACGCTCTTGCCTGTCCCAGTCACATGCCTCATACGCCCAGGTTGCTAATCTATTTTCCCTCCTGGGTAGCCTTGACACTGACGGAAACTCATCCACGGATACAGACATGAACGCTCAGTCTCGGCCGGAGCCTAGCACTCGTCACCCTCCTGCCTCTCCTCAAAGAAGCCAACACCGGCGTCGTCGACACACCCATCGATCAAGAGGTACTGCTCCAACAGAGTCCTGATGATCCTCTGGTCCCCCAGGCACTTTCCCAAGGGATTGTGACACCGGAGGAACACGAGGCCCAGAGTGAGGCTCCCTCCCACCAGTCGCAGACGCCGTCAAGAGAGTTCGCGAGCCGACCACCGCTTCCATCAGGCAGAGAGAAGCATAGATCAACATCCTCTGGACTGGAAGTCATTGATACCACACATTTTACTTACTTTGTATGAGGGTTTTATGGCTTTTTCTAGTGGTTTCCCCTTTGGAGACGTCTGTGCACTGGTGGTCAAAAAGTTAGCTGTTGTATTTCAGGGATAATGGCGCCCCATCCTGAGAATACTGTGGTGTTTTGGAATGCCCGCTCCCTTTTAAGAAAACGCAATTTCTACGCAATTTTGATTCCACCCCGCGTCCATGGACTCGTCATCATTCTCGACTCCTCGACACTGCCATCACTCGTCTCCGGATTGGGCACACTTGCCTGGCCGCACATCTCCATCGTCTACGGCTGGTAGATTCCCCATACTGCCAGTGGTGTCCGACCCAGGAGGATACAGTGGAGCACCTTCTTCTTCACTGCCCTCGATTTCATAGCGCTCGCGTCAGACTACAGAGTGCTGTTCGTAGGCTGAATATTCCCCGCCTCGCAGTTCCCGTTCTCCTTGACGGGGCAGGTGCGAGAGATGAAGACGTTCGTCATGACATCCTTCGCCATACCTTCCGCTTCATCCGTCATGTCCGTGGCCTGAAGAGACTGTAAAATTTGTGGTCTAAGGAGATTGTAGGGTCTATGGCCTGAAGAGACTATAGGGACCCCATCCCTCCGCTATTTCCCGGTATCGGGCAGCCGTGGCGCATCCGATCCCACGATCGTCGTCGCCCCTAAATCAACACAACTCTTGTACCAACCCCACAACCACCAGCTCACAACTCACAAGAGTTCTTACATTCTTGTACAGCCACTGGCATGCATAGCGTTTCGGGCAGGTCCTTAATCCAATTTTTTTCCCGGAACACGATCCGCCAAATCAATTAACAACAGGTACCCATTCATTGTTGGGTGAACAGAGGCTACAGTTAAGGATTGGCACCCGGTCAATCCTCCCGGGCCAGGATACGAACCCAGGCCAAAGCGCTCGCGAAGCGCCGGGTGAGTGCTTTACCACTATACCACGAGGGACTGTTAAACACAACTGTTTTTGCACGTCACAGTCCAAATAACCACACATCTAGCACAAGGTCATAATTGACTCTTCTAAAAATCGTTTCTCACAATATACTTCTAATTATCAACATTCCCACTATCACTCTTAGGACGAATCACAACTTACCCTACCGTTCAAATTCCCCAGACTCGTATCCTCCTAACAATCTATCCTCCATAGTCTCCCCTGAACTAACACATAACGCGCGTCTCCAACCACCACAGAAAACGCATAGGACACGCTCACAGCTAACCCCGTACTAATGTAAACTCAGCAAGGTCATGCCCTACCCAGTCACCCAGAATATGCACAAACACCTGTCACCCCCTTGCGCTACCACTCCTCTGCCAACCACATAACATAAACACTCATGTAGATAGAGGGAGCCACGCCCTTATCGGAAATAATTATTATATTATTATTAACTACAGCAAAAATGTTGTGGTTATTCTAGCCATTTTTAGAAAATCAGGAAAAGTTTGTGAGTTCAAGTGATATGCTGCAGAGCAATTCTATGACCGGAGGTAAAGACCTTGACACTTTTTTTTTTTTAATTAAGGCTGGCATCTCAGAAAGTGTACCTGATTAAGTTTTAAGTGACGGGATTGTCATTAACATCTGAGGAATCAGCAGGGGATAGGTACATACTCAGGATAGCTGCCTGTGAAGTAGTCATTAATAATTGTTTTGGATGCTAGATTTTCATTTGCAAAGGAAGTAAGTAATTATCAAAAGAAGGCGTCAAACCGGGAAGGCGGCTATGTAGCACCACCAAATAAGTGGGATAATCATAGGGCGCAAAAATCCCTAAGGATGCCAATATGAGAACAGAAACGCATAAGGCAAACGATATCAAAAGTATCTGATTCACCAAGAATTTTATCGAGGGACAAGTGATGGCCAGAAAGCAAGACACACACTTGTTCTGGAAGTCAGGACATTCAACAAGGATATGTATGACTGTAAGAGGGGCAAGGCAGTTTGGACAATAAGGAGCAGGGCGGCGCTTCATTGTCAGTGAGTTAAGTGTTTATGGCCAATATGCAACCTTGCCAGAGCTGTTTCCCACCGCCAGTTACGGTGGTAGGAGGAAGGCCACAGGGACACACTACTCTTAAGAGTACACAGTTTGTTACCAGTAACAGAAGACCAACAATCCTGCCAACAGGCAAGGATGGAGGAATGAATAACTGGGTAAAAGTCGGAAAAAGAAATACCTTTACGGGAGATGGGACAAGTGCGGATAGCTTCCTTAGTATTGACCAAGCATATTGGTGTATCAACTGTGAATAATTCCATTTCTCCTACTCTACCCATATACAATGGTGTTCCACAGGGCAGCATACTTGGCCCTCTCCTCTTTCTCATCTACATTAATGACCTTCCAAATGCCTCACAACGCCTCAAGCCAATCTTATTTGCTGATGAAACAACCTTCATTTTCTCCAGTTCTGACCCTCTTGGTCTAAATGTCACAGTGAATACTGAACTCAAGAAAGTCCATCTTTGGCTAACTGCTAACAAACTCACCCTTAACATTGACAAAACTTTCTATATTTTGTTTGGTAATAAATCCTCAAATGAAATTAATTTAAGAATAAACAATATCCAAATTAGTAACAAAGTTGATGGTAAATTCCTTAGTATCCTCATCTCGATAACAAACTGAATTTCCAGGGACACATTCTAAATAGCAAAAAAAGTTTCTAAAATTGTTGGCATTCTTTCTAAGATCAGATATTTTGTACCTCGCCCTGCCCTGGTGACGCTCTATTATTCTCTCATCTATCCTTACCTCAACTATGGTATTTGTGCTTGGGGTTCTACTACCCAAAATCACTTACGTTCTCTAATTACTCAACACAAAGCTGCAATAAGAACAATATCTATCTCTGGCCCCAGACATCACTCGGTACCCATACTCAAATCTCTAAATAAGTTAGATATTAAATCACTGCACATCCTCTCATGTGTACTCAATATATTCAAAACTCTGAACTGTAATGTCAATCATGACCTTAAAAGCTTCTTAGAAGGTTGTAACAGAACCCATGGGCACCACACCAGAAACAAATACCTATTTGATATCCCAAGAGTACACTTAATCTAACTAGAAATGCTCTACAAATCAAAGGACCCATAATATGGAATGACCTTCCCAATCATGTCAAAGACTGTACCTCTCTCAACCAGTTTAAGATAAAAACTACCTAAAAAACTCCATGTAACCTACCTTACCCCTAAATGTCAACCCATGTCTTACTATTGTAATCATTGCTGTTTGTTGACCAACTTGTATAATTGCTATTCTCTGCCTTGTTCCCCCTTTTTTATTTTTTATTTTTTCAACACAATTTTTACTTTAAGCTCAGTTACTATTAAGTTTTAATCTAAGTGTTTTTCCTCCCCTCACCTTGCCCGAAACGCTATGCGTACTAATGACTTTAGGTATTGTATGTACTATCTCTATCTTTAAATCTAACATTGTGTAACTCAATGTATGTACCTTTACCTGAATAAAAAATCTAAATCTAAATCTTAGTTGCCCGAAACGCTATGCGTGCTAGTGGCTTTACAAGAATGTAAAATCAACTTCATTTCTATGTTCTCTCTTAACCTCCAATGTACCTTCTTGTATATAAATAAATAAATAAATAAATAAATAAATAAATAAATAAATAAATAAATAAACAAATTAGCGGTAGTATCTGCATGCTCATTTAAAGAGACTACAATATGGCTGGTAACCCAACAAAACTCCACTGTCTTAAATCTACTGGAGATTAGAAACAGCCAATGTTGAATCTCGACTACAACTGGATGGACTGGATTAAAGGACTCCAGAGCCATGAGGGCACTGCTAGAGTCAACTACAACCACAAAGGAGGATTGACAGCGAGAAAGCAGTAGACGAAGAGCACAGAGAATAGCATCTTCTGCCATGAAGATGCTAGTCTCCGAAGGCAGGTGAATACGAGGAGAAATATTGGTAACACTAACTGAAAGAGAATTTTGCAGGCGAGACAACCAGACAGAAAGAGGGAGGTGGTGAAGGGGAACAGGAACTACAGAAGGGGTAAAAGTCAAAGCACAACATAGGCGAGTGAGGGTATTGTAAGGACCGCGCAAGGTAGCGAAGACAGTAGCGATCACGGCGGTCCTGGAGAGACGGGAAGCCAGGGTCAACATACAAGCTGAGGGTAGAAGTCGAACGAAAGGCATCAAAACTGAGGCGCTACCCAGTATGGTGCAAATCATCAAGACGTCAAAGAGTAGAAGGAGTAGCAGACGAGTAAGCAGGGCAACCATAATCGAGTTTAGACAGTACAAGAGAGAAATGTAAAGAAATGAGCGTGCGCCTATCCGCTCCCCAAGAAGTATGGGACAAAACCTTAAGTAGGTTAAGGGCTGTAGGTAACCCGGAGGTAAGAAATATGGGGTGACCGAGACAAATGAGTGTCAAAGATTAACCCCAAAAGCTTAGCGGAATCTTTGTACATAAGGGGATGACCATAAAGTGACAAAGAGGGACGAAGAACAGCTTGCTTCTGAGTAAAAGTCATGGCACAAGTCTTAGTTGCAGAGAACTTGAAGCCGACTAAAGAGCCTAAAACTGTACTCCCTTGAGCGCAGGCGGGAGAGGTACATAATAATTTACACGTGGAAAATATTAGAGGGGCTGGTCCCAAACCTGCACACAGAAATAACATCACATGAGACCAGAAGACATGGCAGGATGTGCAGAATACCCCCGTTGAAAAACAGAGGTGCAATTGGTACTCTGAGACTGTGCAGATATTATTTACTGCCCAAATCCATTCAATAAACCATCCATATTACTGAGGATGTTTAAAATTTCTCAATCTTTATTCTCTAGAGTGCAGGAAAGAGCAATATAGTGTGTTTTTTCTTTGCAACAGTGCCAAAGGGACCCCCAGTAGAATCCCAGGGGGTCCCCAAACTCACCGTTGGTCCCCCGAGTGCATTGAAGTAGAGTGGAGAGTTGAGTTTCCTATTAGCCTCCTGTTCCACCACTAGTAGTCCCTCTAGATGTTAGCATGGTCATAACTCAAAGTACTGGGGTACTGGGATCTCCATCCAATGATACAGTAACTCTCCTTCACACAAATGGGGAATTACTGAACAGCCACCGTAACTTGGGGAGGCTACGTACCTCTATTGACTTCTTTGGTACCTTACCATTACTCTTTAAATGGGCATCACATTAGCAATGCCACAATGGGTCTCGGCAACACTCCAGAATATAGTCAGTTGTCCGATGATGACAAACTCCATCTGAGTAATAATCCACTGCTTCAAACATTACCGAAATGCTTTACATAATAGTGGTTTCAGTAGTATGCGTAACTTCTGTCCCTAAAATTATACATTACTCTTATGTTAATTGTACACACATGCTTTAGAATAAACACTGATTGATTGATGGATTGACATAACCCAGAATACCAAGTCAATAGCCTCTCCCCAAATGTGCTCCCACAGTGTAAATGTAAACCACCTCTAAGTCAAATCAAGCAATCATTACTGGCAGAGAGGAACACAGAAACCCACTGCTCATAAAAACACGTTTAATGAAAAATTGAATAGTCACACACTATGATAATGGCCTCACAAAACTTAAAGCATATTCAGTTGCAGTTGGCTGCAGCAGCAACTGGATAAAAGCAGAATAATTTATGTTACTTTAACACTGTTCCTGGAGGTCAATAATCAGCTGACAAAACTTAAATCACTAACAAAACTCACTAAGGCTTGTCAAATATCAACAAAATAACTCTTGAGCAAAATATGTATGTGAATACTGTAAATGCAGTAGACCAGTAATCTCTCATTAGCATTCTAGTTTCACATGACTAAAATACATAATAATAATAATAATAATAATAATTTATTTAGGAACAGTACATACATAGTTGCAGAGTTACAGTACAAACATTCTGTTAGATTTAAAGATAGAGGTAGTACATACAATACCTAAAGCCACTAGTACGCATAGCGTTTCGGGCAAGGCATGTCTTTCAGACATGTAATATCATAAAGTAAAGTACAGTACTCTCACTTGTCCATAGTGCATAAATGTACATAAATGAAGCACAATAATAATAATAAATATTACACAATAACTCAAGGTGAGAGGGGAAGATGTCTAGCCAACTAAGCTACCATTTAAAAGTTCGATGTCGCCGTGACCACAGGCTGCATGTCTTTCTTGTTCTCACACGTCACACACATTGGCGTGAAATTCCTGGCATCGCATTGTCACTCCTCACTCCTTCTGGCAATTTCCTGCCACTACCATGTTCCTGTGATTTTCTCTTGATTTTGATATTTTCTCTCTTCACAACTTTCACCTACTACCACAGCAGGGAAATCATGACACCATATAGCTTCTGGGCTATCACTTCAATTTCTCCTTCCACTGGAGACCTAGTGGCCCTACAGCATAAGCTACCACTTAATGCTCTGTAAATAAAATCATTGGAGTACCAGTGCCTCACTTTACCTGCACTTCACTTCACTCCTCACCTTCTTGTAAACCATTTGAAATAATGTCACTGGAGACACGGGTCTTCACACTGCTTAACACTGCTCTCCTTAATTACTTATAACCAATCCTTCACAGATTGGGACTGTCCACTCTATGCTAGGTTAGAGTTAATAGGCAACTTGCGATGAGTTCACACTTGCATCACACTGCTGCACCACTTTGCACTGGACATCTCTTCACAGTCTGGATGTAAAACAAGTGGACCCAAATCACCAGCATCCCTCGAGTTGCACCTGGATACTTCAACTCAGCAATCCGCCCCTGGCATAGTATTGACTCTTAAAATGCCCTGCTTCTCTTCTTAAAGCTTTAACTCTGCTGCTAAATATTCTAATTCAAACCCTAGACTCTTTATTTTCTGTCTGGATTTCTAATTCAACATATTTTTGTCCAGTGTACTAGGGATATGTCATATGAATTTATTGTGCAGCCCAGGAATTAAGGGTGTGAGCAGTGCATTATAAAATTAGTATGCAGGCACCCAGTGTGACCTTTATAATGAAAATCCCAACAGCCCTATCCACAAAGTTCACAAAGGAGTCGAACACCCTTGCGCTGCTAAAGGCGAGGCACCTTCCTCAGGAAGCTAAAAGCGAGACACCTCCCTCAGAAGCTAAAGGCAAGGCATCTCCCTCAGGAAGCTAAAGGCGAGGCACCTTCCTCAGGAAGCTAAAAGCGAGACACCTCCCTCAGAAGCTAAAGGCAAGGCACCTCCCTCAGGAAGCTAAAGGCGAGGCACCTCCCTCAGGAAGCTAAAGGCGAGGCACCTCCCTCAGGAAGCCAGCCTCTCAGAGAAAGCCACCTGAACCCACCAGGAAAGAGAGCCCCTGCTAGCAGAAGCAACACCAATGAACACCTAGAAATAGTCACACGAGACACAAGCAGTCCAAGCGAACAGCTAATTCAAATACACACAAATGAGGTATTAATATACATGCACAAGAAGCAGTGAGAAGTGTAACTGTGATGCACTGTGCCAGGCAAAAATGGCTGATAATCATGGCTAGAGGATCGAGGAGCTGGAGCTTGGTGTGCCATCACCTGGTGGTATGTAGGTGGAACTAATCAGAGAACAGTTTCACAACTGGGTGGTTCATTCAGTTTGGGGGTCTCCTTTTCTCATTTTCTATGTTCTGTTTACCCTTGCTGATTGTCTGTTTTGTTTTGCAGACCTTTCTGATGTTTTTTTCTTGGATAGTGACCGAGCATCCTTTGCTCTTTACAAATATACAGATTTTAGGCCAGGCCAGGTTTTGGCCCCTCATCCCTAGCAGGCTTACATTGACTCACAAGGGCCTGGTGTGGATAGAACTGAGTGGAGCTATGTTGGTAGCTAATGATAAAGAGCCTCCTTAGGAGCCTTCTATGAAAATATTAATTTTTTTATGTTTTTATGAATATTAAGCAACTCATTCTTAAGCAAATTTTTCTTCTAATATATTTAATAAATATGGAAGAATAGAATCTAATACATTCAAACCATGGCTTGAAGCTTTTACTCCTTCATTAGTGACATGTAGTAATTTACCTTCCTGAAGCCACTTAGTTTTTTCATTAAATATTTCCAACAAAGTAATTTGTGGCATAAACACATTCCATCTTTCTTGAGTGATTCCTTCACTTGTTCTTAGTCCCGAAGCAACGTACTCACTAACTACATCTAGTGGCGTCTGACTCGTAATCTTCCGTACCCCAGCTCCTTTAAGTTTAACTTCTCTTAACCAGTTTACTGGATCTGCAGCATTAACTCTTGCTTCACGAATAATGCAATTATTAGAGCATTGTTCAGGAAGGCCATTTTTACTTGCTTCATAAATTCTTGAATTATGTAATTTGGTTTCATGCATCAGACAATTATTTTCTTTAATATATTTTGGAATGATTCGGCTATGAGCTCCAGGACCAATTCCAATATACTGTAAGCCCTGCCAATATGATTTGTTGTGAACACTTTCAGCTGAGCACCCATGAGCAAAATTGGAGATTTCATACCTCCTAAACCCTGCTTTATTTAGCAGGGACACTGCAATTTCATAGAGGTCAGCCATCTGGTCAGCATCGGGCACTATTATCTCTCCTGAAAAAACAGCATTGAATGCACATTATTGAAATATTTCTTTCTGGTGGGTCCTTGGTGGCTCTCTGTTGCTAGTTACTTGCCTAGCTCTACCCAATTTGAGTCACATCAGACCCCTGTCAGTCAACATGAGCCTACTGGGGACTAGAGCCCAAATCTGGCCCCTTTATAGAAATGCAGGGAGCTGAGGATGCTAGATCACTCAGACTTATGAGTAAAAATCAAGTGGAAAAGAAGAACCTTAAAGCAGGAAGGCTGAAGCCCCACAGCAATTTCCAACTAGTCCCTGAACCTCAGATGAAGCAGGATGTGGAAGATGTGATTACCAGAGAAGGCCTGAGAGTCTTAGATGTCCTGGAGGCCAGAGCAAGGGATGGGGGGCCCAAGAGATCCATTGAACTAATCCAGACAGACAGTGAAAGGAGGAGGAATGAACAGAGAACCAGAAGAAATCACCAGCTGCTCCGGCTCCAAATCCCTAACAACCAAACAGGACCAACTCCAGGGCAACCACTCAAGCATTAAGCCACAAATAATAAAAATGGGCAAACAAACCCAAAATAGTTGCCACCTGTTAAACTTTATCAAAAAAATAAAAAATTAAAAAAAAAATTCAAAGATGGAGTCTCTAGTTAAAATAGAGACCCAGCAAACCCCTAATATTGCAGGTCTCGAGGTACAGGGTAATATCCACATTACAGCATAGCAGGAACAGTACAAATGACAATTGCCATGTACCAAAACCGATGAACATTTCTCAAACTTCCAAGTAACAAGTGCAGGCTCGATGGGCTGATCTATAACGAACCACTTCGAAGATCCTTGAGGCTTGCCTGCACTTGAAGGTAAAGACTAGGCAAAACACCAAGGCACTAGGGATGCTCGCTGGATGAACAGACACCGACTGCAGCACAAAAGAAAGACATGGCTGCAAAGGGCATCAGTAGTGTGCAATATATACAACACAAACCCTAGTGCCCCTATAATCAATAACCCCAGAACACTCCAACCTCATTGCCTTGCAGAGGAGTCAAAGAACCATGCACTACTCAGGGTGAGGCACCATAAACAGGATGCCAGCCTCAATGGGGCAATCACCCAAACACACCAGGTAAGTAACCCTTTCAGTGAAGGGGGCTAATAATATAAATCCCTTTGGCATATGCCCGACGAGGCACCCAAATTGAACTGGAAGGTAGGCGAACATTCCCGGTGAGCACACTACCCAATGTTAAACTCTCTCACTTCACAATGTTTACACTTAATACTAAGCAAAAATTAATGCATGATGCAAAGAGCATCATCACCGACTCTGCATGAATTGTTTTTATGAAGCCGAGAACATCGTCAGGATGCCAAAGTGTTAAGGACTTGCAAGTGTTGATGAGACACAGGTGTGGAACTATTTCAGTGTGGCCCCAGAAAGCACAATATAAATTCCCTGCATTAACTTAAATTTAACTGAGGGCCCCCCCATCTCCCAAGTGGGCTCAATGGAGACAGGAACCCAGCAGCTTGTCAAATGTCCACTATTTTTACTAATGATTTTATTCAGCTGGATTTTGAAGTGCAGCAATAACATGGCATTTATAAATTGGTGGGTAGACAGTTCCATAGGTTTATAACCTATGGGAGAAAAAGTATATCCTGTTTCCTGTCCTACATTGTGTCTTGTTGAGCTTGAAACCATTGCTCCTTTTATGTGTTACATCTGATCTTTTAAAGAAGTGGTCTGGATCAATATCCTACAAATTTTTCAGCACTGTATGTAAAAGTTTCAATGAGATTAGCCCTGTCATATCTGGTTTGCAGTGTTAATCATATGGTCCTCAACCATTCCTAGTATGAAAGTTGACTTTGTCTTGTGATTACTTTTGTCCCTTGGTGTTGAACTTCTTCTGAATCAGCTAAGTACTTCTGAAGATGAGGTCTCCATGCTTGGTTAGAGCAGTCCAAATGAAGGTGATCAGAGATTTGTACAGTTGAATAACTATCTTCTTTTCCTTGAAGTTAAAGGATTGTTTGACTACTGCTAGGGTTTGGTTAGCTGTTTTTACTGCAGCTCCCACTGGTTGTGCAACTTTTAATGATTGGTGGATTCTGACTCCAAGGTCCTTTTCTTCATCAATCTGCTATAAGGTAGTGTTATTGATTTGGTAGTTATGTTCATTGTTATGCCCCACATGCAAGGTCTTGCATTTTCAGAATAAGGAAGGGTTGGGGAGAGCAGGAGAGGATTAAGAAGGGGGGCATATTGAAGGAGGAGAGTAAGACACTTGTCCATCATGTGACACCTACAATGACACACATCACATACCTCTGAGTGGCAAGGATCACCCATCCAACAGGTAGCCAGGTAGAGGCAGTAAGGCAGTTTTATTGTATCAACATGCAATAAAACCAAGGCATGGTTGGAACAAATTAAGTGGGAAGGTGGTGGATGCCAAAATCATCAGTAGTTTCAAAGAATCACATGAGAGAGTACTGGAAAGAGAGGACACAAGAAGCATAGCTCTCATCCTGTAACTACACTTAGGTAATTACATCCCCTCAAACTCTACTAAAGACAACCAGGGGATGGCCAGGCCCTGAAGGTAAAAACCCAGCTGGAAAACTAGGCACAGGGGCCACTCACAAAAGATAGATTAATAAACACTGAAAGCAGCCAATTTGCACTTGCGGCTGTGAAGGACGTAAGGGGCACACCGTTGAACAAGCACACAAACTCATGTGCAACCTCTCAAAGAAGAAAAATCCTGACTGCCTTCAACCTCAGAGCTTTACAGAGAAGTCAGAGACCCGTGCACTGCCCAAGGTGAAGCATCCTCTACAGGAAAACAGCCTCTCAGGGACAGCCACTAGAACCCATCAGGTAAGACAACCCTATCAAGGCAGGGACAACACCAGTTAGCACGTAGAGAAATTAAACTTTAAGTACGTGCAGCTTGAGATGAATAACTTTGTATAGTCCATACAAAGAAGGAATCATAAAAGTAGAAATACTGTATATGTAGCTAATACTAGAAGAATAAAGAAATACAAAGAAAGGCCTGCATTTATCTGAAAAACTGGGATACGAAGGGCTCTAGAGGACCAAAAAGTGGCAGTGACATTTTCACAGCAACATCAGGAAAATGACTGGGGGCTTGTTTTGGCTGAACCAGTAGCCGGTGGGTACTGCAGCCTGGTGGTGGGCAGTTGCAACTAGAGGGTGAATGACCTAACTACTTGGATAAATTTCTGAGTTGTTTAGTTCATCCTGTAGTCTGTATTGTTTCACTCTACCTTTCTGGTGATCTTTTCTTGGTCAGGGTGATTATCCTCAGCTCCCTGCACCTCTACAGAGGGGGGCCAGGTTTTGGGCTCTGATCCCTGGTAGGCTCATAATGACTTAAAGGGCCTGGTGTGACTTGAACTGGGTGGAGATAGGTAGGTGGCAAGCAACAGGAAGCTACTGAAGCCCTCCCAAAAAGAATACATACTTTTTAAAAATCATCATTAAATAATCCTATAAATTCCATATTGCACTACAAAAATCAAACAGATAAGACATTTTTATTAAGTCCAAATATGTACACAGTACACATAAGCAATAAAGAATATGAAAACATGTGATAAAACTGACTTTTGCATTATCAACAAAATACAGAAGAGGAACAGATGACAAAACTGAGGACAGGTGAGAGCTCATTCACAGAAAAAGACAAGAACATGTATGAGGAACTCATCAAGAGACTGAAGGGAATCTTCACAATAAATCCAGGAGAAGTGTCAAAACTGAAGGGATGATGCCAAACCAAGCAATACTGGAAGACTTTGAGATTACATGAGATGAAGTTACAAAGCCGATGCTGTAGTTGGACTTGACTAAGTCCAAACAAGACTTCACAGAGGATATTAGCAAGGGAGTTTAATCCCTGTGCTGGCCCCTTCACAAGATAACAAAAGAAGTATGCAAGAAGTCACTGGAAATAAGAACTACAAAAAGTTAGAAGATAGCCAAGGTAGTGCAAATATATAAAAAGGGAGACAGACAGTGGATGTTAAATGGCAAGCAAGTGTCCCTAAATGCATATCATGCAAGGTAATGAAAAGTAAATCATCTGGAAAGGGGATGATTTAAACTGCATTTGTCAATTTTTCATCCATTTTAAAAGTGAATCAAAATTGTCTGGTAGCAATTTTGAATCTTCTTAATTTATTGTTAGCCTTATTTTTGCATCATCTGCAATTGTTGCTGTTTAATCCTGTCTAAATTATTTATTGTACTTCATATGGTGATAACACTTTAAAATACAACTTTATACTGTCAAAGGAGGTTAGGAATTAGAAACACTATATCAATGGAAAGGCAGAGATTGGACACAAGATCTGAAGCTCAACTACTGCAAGCATAACTGGATGATTACAACTAGAAGTACATAATATAGGCATGGAGTAAGTAGTAAGCTATTGAGAGTAACAATAAGAATGAATGGAAAAGAATAACCCAAACATTCAAAACATTCCACGTGAAACATTACTTAGTGGTGGAAAATAGTTACAGTACAGTATCAGATATGCTGCAAGATGTACTCTATTAACATTTGGGCAAAACAAATACAAAGCAATAATAGATGGTATAAAGTGCTCCATAAAATTCTGCACCGGAACAAATCCAAAAGCAGCAGCAGATAGCGCAAGGTATTCCACAGACCAAGCGTTGAATGTAAGAAAATGTCTCTTTCTGGTAACAGCTCCAATCGCTTTCCAAAGCTATCATGCTGAAATTGCTCCCCCTGAAATTTAGCACTTAGCGTGAAGCAGAGGGGCTTACCACAACTGATGGCACTATTGGTAGCAATAACCACCACAACATCAGTGACAGAACTAATTGGGGAAGCAGGCTGTAAGCAGGAGCCAGCCTGCCTGATGGCTGCTATCTGTACGAGTTCGAGCTAGTTTAGAGTGAATCTATTGTTTTACTTAAATCATTTGTGGAGTTGTCTGGGGGTTTTGAGGCTTCATATTCTGTGTACCCTCCAGTTGTCTGTAAAATTTCAGACTTTCTGGATGCTTCCCCAATGTGATAGAAAATTGTCACTCAATCTGTGGCTTTGTGAGGAAGACAGGTTCTGGCTCTGGTCCCCTGGTAGGCTAAACTGAACTCTTATAACTGATGTGATCCTTTAAAGTAGCAAAATTTCAGCAAGACTGAGATTTTGCTTCAGGGAGGCAAAAGGGAAAACTCCCCCAGAAAATCAAGTATTTTTTATGATAAGAGAATCTGAATTTTTGTAAGCTATTAGACAACATGATAATAAAATACTATAATAATAAATACAACAAACCTGATTGAACTTGATGAAACAACTTAGTTCCTCGCTCCAATGTTAACTGATACAAAGATATATGGTTATCACAGACAGTCAGCATGTTCTCCAGTTCTCGTTCCCAACTGAAATATAAAAAGCTTCAAGTAACAAGACAAATCAAATAAGTAACGTGGCACCACGAAAATCTAGATCCTGATATAGCAGAGTTCGTGAAAATCCTGATCAAATCTGCTCTCCGGATTTTCTTCTGAATTTGAATATACCATACGTACAGTAACTCTAAAAAGGGCAGTTATTATTATATGTCAATCCCCAGGGAAATGCAGTTACCACCATCTGGTTTTAATACAAATGCTGTAATACATTTCAGTGGATATACTCTAATGGTTATAATACAGCTAAATAGATATAATGGAGTTAACATAGACGCATTGAAAAATTTGCTATTATTTTTAATTACTAACTACAGTATATATGAGTTTACTGTGTGTTCCAGGTCTCAAGAATTCTTCTTTATCAATTTTGTCAATTCCTGTTATTATTTGGTATGTAGTGATCACATTGCATCCTTTTCTTCTATCTTCTAGCTATGGCATATGTAATGGCTCTAACCTCTCCTCGTAGCTCTTGTCTTTGAGTTTGGAGACATTTTCTTGCATGTCTGCACCTCTTCCAATTTGTTTAGATGTTTCTTGAGATATGAGCACCATATAACTGTTGCATAATCCAATTTTGAATTCACAAAGGTCGAGAACAATTTCTTTTATATTTCACCATCCATATACAGTATTTAATAGCAATTCTGAAATTGGAAAGCATAACATTGGCTCCTCGCACAATGGTCCTGAGGTGACAGTTGTCTGTATAGAACCCCCCCTAGATCTTTTTCTTTATCAGAATTCATTTTCACATAATTTGTAGGTTGTGTTTGGCCTATTTTCTCCTATTCCACATTCTATATCATGGTAATTATTCATATTAAATTCCATTTGTCAAGTGTTTCTCCATACAATTATTTTGTCCAGCTCTTCTTGATGGGCATAACAATCATCAGTTTCTTATTTTCCCAAAGTATCTTAGCATCATCAGCAATCATGTTCATGTAATTCTGTATTCATTCTGTTAGATCCTTCTGTATTATTTATACAATGACCATTATTGGTGCTAGAACTGAACCCTGTGGTACTCCCCTAATGGCATTTCTCAAGTCTTATACATTGCCTCTGATTACTGCCCTCATTTTTCTATCAGTTAGAACATTTTCATCTATGTTAGATGCTTTCCTGCCACTCCTCCAGTATGTTCCAGTTTCCAGAACAACCTCCTATGTGACACTTTGTTGAATGCCTTTTTTTAGGTCCAGATAAATGCGGTCAATCCATCCATCTCTTTCCTGTAAAATCTCTGTAGCCCATCATAGAAACTAAGTACATTTGTTAGAATGGATCTTCCTGATCAAAAACCATACTGTCTCTCTGTATTATTATATCATTTCTCTCCAGGTGTTCTACCCATTTGGTTCTAATTATATTTCTAATGTTTTGACTACCATACTTGTCAATGATACAGGTGTATGATTACGAAGGTCTTTCCTACCATTTTTTCAAATTGGAACATTTTTTTTTTTTCCATACCTGTTAAGACCCCCATACACAAAGATGACAGAAAAATCAATTCAAGTGGGGTGCTCAGTACAGATATGCTTTCCCTCAGAATCCATGGTGAAACTCCATCTGGGCAACTGACTTGTGTCTACGTACTTCCTTGAGTATTTTTTTTCACCTTGTCTCAAGAGACCTCTATGTCCTCTGTTATTCCATGTGAGGTTCTCTGAAAACTTAGTATTTGACGAGCCCAAAACACTCTTTGGGTTCCATCTATGGAGGGTCTTTTGCTCAGAGCTGATGACTTTGTACAATACAATACAATACAATACAATTTTACAATACAATTTTATTTAGGTAAGGTACATACATACAATAAATATTTACAAGGATTGTTTAACTTATAGGTATAGCTAGTACATACAATGCCTAAAGCCACTATTACGCAAAGCGTTTCGGGCATGATAAACTTAAATGACAAGCTTAATACTAATTGAGCATAATGAGTAGAATGAAAACAAGAAATGAAAACATAGATGAAAAAGCAGCACAAATACAATTATGTCGACAAACAGCGCTCTTTAAAGAAAAAAACAGACATTGGTTGACAATAGAAGGGTAAGGTAGGTTACAGGGAATTTATTAGGTATAGCTTCGCTTTTAACTTAAACTGGTTGAGAGAGGTACAGTCTTTAACATGGTTGGGAAGGTCATTCCACATTCTGGGCCCCTTGATTTGTAGAGCACTTCTAGTTTGATTAAGTCGTACTCTAGGAATATCAAAACTGTATTTATTTCTGGTGTGATGCTCATGGGTTCTGATACAACCTTCTATGAAGCTTTTGAGATCAGGATTGGCATTATAGTTTAGCGTTTTATATATGTATAATACACATGAGAGAATGTGCAGTGACTTAATGTCTAACATATTCAGAGATTTAAGTAGGGGAACCGAGTGATGTCTGGGGCCAGAATTGGATATTGTCCTAATAGCAGCTTTGTGTTGAGTAATTAGAGGACGTAAGTGATTTTGGGTAGTAGAGCCCCAAGCACAAATACCATAGTTGAGATATGGATATTGATATGGATATGGATATGGATATTGTTTATCCTCTGCCCATGGTCAAGCACGATTCCTTGGCTGTTCCCCCTGATTGCATTTCCATGTCCTAACAGGTTTCATGGATGCATCTTTTTTCCAGAAGTTTTTGATGTCCCACCTTGCCCCTTCTTTGGCTCGGGGGATGGGGGCGGAGGGGGGGGGAGAGGGGAAAGTGGGTTCCATCTTTCAGGTGTACTGTATTTGGGCAAAGCTTCTTTTATGCTACTTGAGAACTATTTGTTTGCTCTGGTTCTTCTTAAAAAAGTCAGCAGGTGATAGGTCCATGTCCAGCTGCCTTAGCTCCCTGGAGCCCTGTGCCTTAGCTCCCTGGAGCCCTCACTGCGAGGAGATCATAGGGCTCATGTTGACCAAACCACACACTTGAAAGTGAAGGGACGACGACGTTTCGGTCTATCCTGGACCATTCTCAAGTCGATAGTGCTCATGCTCAATTGGTGGTCATTTTGCATATTTGGGCTGTTATTAAGCTGTTCTCTGATGAGCTCTGAGTTGGCCTAGATCTTCGGACCTCAGTGTCTGTCTTAATGCCTTGTTGCCTGCGGTTCCAGCTTTGGCCGCTCTACCCAAGTTGCTTGCTCCCCTCCTTTAGGAGGCGATGGCTGCATTTTAATGGCCTATCTAATAATTCAGTGGGCTGTACTGGGCCAGGTCTTAGATTTGGCTTGGTCCTTAACAAATTTGTCTGCCTGCCCCTATTTGCCCCTTCTGTTTCCTGAGGGGGGCTGTCTGTTCGGTCATTTCAGCCTCTGACATTGCTTATGATTCTCTCAGTTTGGTCCCTCTGCAGGGGGTTCCCTCCGTCCAGTTCAGAGGCGGCTCTTCTGGGTTGGGCCCTCTCCAGTCCAATCTGTCCTCGTACAAAGAACGTCGCTTTTCGCTCATATGCGTTACATAAGAGCAAAAATTGTCATACTAGAAAATGGAAGCGACTTGCGAAAGTGTTGTACTGTCCTGTTTTCTATTTTGGGTCCTCTGGTAAGTTAGGAGAGCACACTTTAAATTGACCGTTTTCTAGATGTTGGCAAACCTTAGGAGGATGGCCAGGTTAGTCGGGGTAGGCCACTGGGTGGAGCTTGATTTCCAGGTCATTGCACTGTCTCTGGTTAGTGCTTCTTCTGACCAGTGTCATTTATATATTATTTATATGTAAACATGTATAAACATGTATTAATTAATTTTGTCGGGGAATATGCAGGTAATGTATTTACTGTATATACACTAGGCCGATATTGTGGTTCCCACAAGGTCAAACTACTGACCCGTCCCAGAACGCAACTACACAACAGCTGACTAACTCCTTATTTATTGCTAGGTAATAAATAAGGCATTAGGTGAAAGGAAACATTTTGTTTTCTTTTTTTGTCCTGCCCAGGATTCGAACTCAGGATTCCAGATTGTGAGTCAAGAATACACCCAATTACAGTAAAATGTAGGAAAACTGAAAACTTGACAGTAAAAAAAGTTAAATGTTGCGAAATCCGAATTTCCAGTAAATCCAAATTAAGTCTGGAATGACAATCTGAATTTCTGAGGTACCAGTATGCCTGTATGCCGGCATCTACATGTACAGTATATAGATGGCAAAGCTCACAAATAAGGTTTAATGTTGGCTACAAGTGTGCACAATGAAATCAACAAACCAGATGTATCTATTAGAAAATGTAGAGGCAGTACGGCATAGAGTCCAGGGATACAGGTTCAATACTGACGAACGGCCTCATCTATAGATACATTTCTAATTTTATTACTAACCTTTCTGTTGTTTGATTGGGTCTTCCAAAAATTAGATCCACAGACAGTCGGCCCGGAAAAAGTTGTTTAGCAATACTAATACAATGAAGAGCCTCTTGGACACTGTGGTCACGATTCAGTAACCTTAATGATGCCGCATCAAGAGCCTGAAAAATTACAGATCTTAAGAATTTTTAAAATAAAAACAGTACAGTACATATATAAATAAAAATGTCTTGCTCTCTAACTTATATTATTGCTCAACATTTCTCCTTTAACTCGTAGCACTGAAAAAAAAGAGCATCCATAACCATACAAAAGTCATCAGCATTATTTCATGTTATGGTAAGCAGAAAACCAATTAACTTGGTAAAAAAAATTATTGTTTCTCCTTGTACATTTTTAACTTTCTTTACATTTCATTAAAATTTCCCCTAGAAGAGTTCAGTAGTGAAGTATAGGAATATAGTATATAGGTAAAGATGTTCAAAATGACACCCGATTATTTTCTACATCTCCCCCACCAATCAGCATCATGGAGAATTGGCACCCTCACACTCCAGCAAATTGGAAGTACTCCATTGCTTTGCAAATGAGGTGTTACAGGTGTTAAGTGCTTCATAAGAATTGTCACAAAAAATAAGTGTGTCTACAACTGTAAAGTACATGGAAAGCACCTTCCTAGGCAGAACACTCAGTACCTTACACAACGGATGCTTCCTTTTGGAACAGACAGGTAGGACAACATCATAGGCACTGCTGCTATAGGCACGAACAAGCGCCCAGTCTACACCTTCCATGTAAACCAGGCATAAGTTGCTGTCAAGATTTTGAACATGAATACCTATAATTTAGTTTAAAGTGTCTGACTGTAAATTATTGGATATTTATATTTTCATGGCAAATGAAAATATGGCATATTTTCATCTCTATCATATGGCACAAAGAACAGATGTGCAATCATTACAAAAATATATATATTCTCTCGGAATTTTAAAAGTGGATGTCCCCAAGCTCCTTCATTGGAATATAAGCATATATTTTATGGATATCATGCACTGTTATTAGAACAAGTATTAAAGCTGCTATGGAGCCAATGGAGAGTGTAAACTCAAATTCCATCATGGAGAAATGGGCCAATGTCATTCACTGTAGGCGAGGAAGTTTTGGGAAGGTATCATTCTGCTGAAACTCCTTTTCTCAAATCTTAGAACAAAGACATTACAGAGAATACCTTGTAAGTGTTGAACATCAACAAATCATGAGCCTGATGTTGGGACTATGTTTCACCACCTTATGAAGCAGCTTTATGGGGGGCGATTGATTTATGACACAAATTACAGAGTAACATAGTGCGAGTAGGATTGGTGGATTGTTTCAAACGTAATTTAGACATTCTATATAATGAATGAGCTTGGGTGGATATAAATAGGGGCTGTTTCATAAGAACCAATAGGCCTTTTATGGTTTCTTTAATTCTTATGTACTTATGTTTCTGTCAAACAGAAAGAGTGTGAGATACTGTAGCAATATTCATACCTGCACACCGATAGAAACTCTGTTAACACCGACAGCCTTGAAGTCTTTCAGTTTATTTGTTTCTAAGGAAGTAGGATTCCCCTCAAGTGTTATTTCAACATTTTCTTCTAAACTGCACATTTCCTGGATTGTTTTCAAGACTTTCTGTGGATCAAGAATTAAACATTCTTAATGAGTATTTCAAAACAAATTGTTCACATATTATTGGCAAGTATTATCAATCATTTTGGTGCTGTAAAAATATCAAGATTTATGTGTGACTCCCTTTTTGGTTGTCATACCTCCACAAATACCTCTCACATTCTTCCTCTTATCATGCACTCAGCTTCATTATATTCATAAGTCCATTGCATGCACTAAAAATGCCTCATGTATTACATTTTATTTTAGTTATACTGGTTATTAATTTTGTATAAAATGTATTGCAAATGCCAGTCCATCAAATAGTTCCTCCACTCTTGCTGATCCACTCTTACATCTGTAAATTTTACAAATTCCATAAATCCAGCATTATAAATAAATTTCAACATTACAATTGACCTGAGGAGGCCACTGACAAACTAGTGGCCTCACCAAGGACAGGAAGCCTGTGACTTGTCAAAGATCCCCTCATTTGCCCTGATGATTGATAACAATGAAGTGCAATAGTGCACTAATCAATTAGAATAATAACCCACTATTTTAAAAACACAAGAAACGTAGACTGAATATTTCAGTCCCAAACCAGGACTCCTTAGCAGTACTCACCTAGTTGTGCTTGTGGGGGTTAAGCTCTGGCTATTTGGTCCCACCTCTCAACAAGAATGATAGCTGGAGCTGCTTTTATGGTGTCAAGTCAGGAGACATTTGATTTGATGTCAAATCTGGTTACCATTGCCCCAAGGAGATATTAAAATTTGGATTATTACTTATAAATAGTAATCCAAATTTGAGTATCTCTTTATTACTGTACTTAGTGTATACTGTAATTAATAATCCAAATTGTAATAGTATCTCTTTGGGGCAGTGGTTACCAGATTTGGTGAGCGATTATGGAATAAGGAGGTTATTACCTAATGATTACCCTTGTTCCCAGGATGAACGACTTGATGCCATAAAAGCAGTTACAGTTGTTATTCTTGCTTACTGATGATAAAAGGTCCCAGTTTGGGACCAAAATATTCAATCTATGTTTCTTGTGTTTTCAAAATAATGGGTTATTATAAGTGTGCTATTGCACTTCATTGTCATGTTGAAATTTGTTTATTATGCTGATTTTATGATTACCAAAACTAAAATGCATTACAGTACTATATTTAAATGAAGCATAATATATAAAGCATAATAAGATCAAAATAAAAATAATGAAATAGAATTTATTCTCTAATTGCTAATGCTTCTAGATATAAATCCCAGTATCCTATTTGCCTTATTTTAAACAGTTATACATTGACTTTTTGACTCAAGAGCCATTTTTTACCTCAACCATTTGTGGCCTTGCGAGAGATGGGGTGCCGCCTCCAAAAAAGACCGAGTGCACAGACGAGATATGCGAGTGCCGGAGATTGTGCTGCAGTTCCTTTACCTGTAACAGGAATCATTATTGTAGTCCACAATACAAGCACCTTAGGCTCTATTATTTATTTGTGGAAAAATTGTTATAGCTTACCATGTGAGCATATTGTATTATCATCTCACATTAACATCATTTATTTATATACTGTACTGCTGTACATTATGCATTCCCACACAAAATAAAATACAATTTCATGTCTATCATAGCTCTCTTATTCATACTATTTTTAGTGTACTATATCATCATTCTTGAACAAATTTCAATAATACCTATAATTATAATATAGTGAACTTCATTATTTTATTATTTATCCGCAAGACTAATCTAATACAAAATTTCAAATGATCATAATCATTTTGCTGCTCCCAGCTGGCTTCCCAGAGAAACTGAGTTAATTCCTCAATATAGAAGGGAAGTCCAGCTGAACTTGTCCAAGGAATTCAGTAAAGAAACAATGTGGGGAAAAGCAGCCTCAAAGGTCTCGGCCTGGCCAACGCAAAGATTGGTTTTCTTTTCTCCCGACTTGCGAGCAAATTCTCAGAAAGCTTGAGGGCAACTGTGCTTCCAATTTACTCAATCTACATAAGTAAGTGAATGAAGACCTGAAGTGTCTTTCCCTCCTCAACATGAAAAAGTCAAATACAGTACTGTACTGTACTGGACTTTCTACCAATGCTGCCTAGTCATAAAATATCACTGCACTGGAGGTTGACAGTTTTAACTGTATTCTGAGAGCACTACATCCTGTACTGACTTCTGGCTCATAATGTGATGATATTCTATTTAAGTAACAGCCACTATGTGTAAAATAAGTGTAGCCCCTACTGCTTACATACTTAGCAAGTTCCTCATGTACTCTTATTCAATCACCAAACAAACCAGTTACCAGGGACATATAAGAAGACCTACAGTCCCTGAAGAGAGACATGTAGAAGGGAGCTAGGCAACCAGTGGGCCTGGCTGAAGCCCTAAATCCAACCCAAACCTTTGAATGATAACGGCCAGTGACTCTCCATGAAATTTAATGTCTACTGCTGGTGCCAAAGCTAATATTTCTTGGGTTTATAAATGTACTGTCCCTCCAATCTAAGCAAGACAGAGATGGAGGGCTAAATCTGGTGAGCCAGTTAATAGCCACCATGGTAATTACCAATAATGAGCTTGAGCCTAAAAATGTCAAATCTCTAACTAGAGAACTGCCAGCTAATTCAGAACCTTGTGAATTAGCAATTGTGATACTGAATAGCCATGGGCCTCTGATAAACAAGGTTAACTGAATAATCAGTCTCTATGTCAAATTGCCGTAAAGAAAAGTAAAGATGTATGTAATGCACATGGGGGTTAGGTGAGGTACTGTCACCTAGTGATGATGAGGTGTAGCAAATGAGGTACAGTATTTTGATGTGTGACAAATTTCAACTGTGATGTCATCGAGAATCTGTAATACTCAAATTTTAAAAATAGACCCGAGAGCCCCCCTCTTCATTTTGGCAAGAAGAATTCTGTATCCACTGTTTCCAAGCACCTGATATGATTCTGTAGCTGCCCTGTATCACTAGTGCTTGTATGTCATCTTGCTTGATTGAAAATCTTCTAGTTCCTTAGGAAAATATCTATGGGAGCAGCAGTAAGACCAGCTCAGAAAACAATAAATGAATGTTCTGCTATACCCTGACGCGAGTTTATCTAAGAATATATACACTCTCGTAATGACATTTCACATGAGCAAGTACTACACAATTCCTCATGGGTTTATTAGCAATCTGGTAATATACAATCAGAGAATGAACACATCATTAAAATTAGTGACTTACTATGAAATTTTCAAGTGTATTATTCTCAACAGTCCAATGTGAATTTGGATGTGGGATGAACTTGACAAAGTTGCAATAGGAACACCTCTGTCTGCAGTATGGCCAGTGGACATACACAGATCCAGTATTTAAGTATGAATCTGGCAGAGTTGCATGTAAAGGTCCATGATCCAACTTTGTTAGATCGTCACTGTTAAGTAAACTTATGTGTCTCGTGCTGCTGGAGGCTCCTTTTATGTAGTGCCATTTCCATGCGTTGTGAAGAAGTTTCATCCTAAAAGAAAATATAATTTAGATTAAAATATTAATATGCAAAACTATACAATATAAAAATATCACAAAAATATTGTATAATGACCTTAAAGATTATTCTTATAAACTTCAAGTGGTTCATAGGCATAATTATATTAGCAAATGAGCCCTATGGTAAAGTTCCCCAGAATACATTTCTTTATATTAACACTTATTGTACAATGCATTTGCTTTCATCCAAATTGCTTGGTACAGTGTGCACTGTGGTGTAAGGAACCAGTAACCAGATGTAATACATAATGAAATCACATACCAAAGGAAATCTTTGGAGCAGGATGGCATATCGTAAGATCTCGTGGAAAACTATATAAACTTCAGCTCTTTTCTTTCCTGTGACAACCCGTCCTCGACTCGAAGTCCATTACATCCAGCGATCGACCCCATAGACGCATTCATAAATTTTTACATGTTGTTCATTCAAAATGGGAATTTTCTCAAATATAAATTAATATTATAATATATTAGCATATTGTGCATATATAGGCATAGGATAGGTTAGGTTAGGTTTTTAGGTTCTGTTGACGATTATTTATATTTGTAGTACGTGGGTGAAGCATTTACAGCGTTGTGGTTCAAACAAAATTCATCAGTGAAGCACTTGTTCGGGAAGTGTTCGAATGAAATCAGTTGTGTGTCGTGTGTAAACCGTTTTTCATTCATAAACAGGGGGTTTGGCGGGTGCATGGAATGCACCCGCCAAAGACTTTTGGGTCTTTGTTTGAAGGACGGGGTGCCTGTGAATGCACTCGCCGGGTGCTTCACAAGCGATTTGGCCAGGGTTCGTATCCTAACTGGGGAGGATTGACTAGACACCAAACCTTAACTGTGCACTTCTGTTCATCCAGCAGTGAATGGGTACCTGGTTGTTAACCGATTTGGCGGGTCGTATTCCAGGGAAAATTAAGATTAAGGACCTGCCCGAAACGCTAATTCTGTATTCTATAGCTGCCGAAGCACTATTGGGCGGTCCATAGAATTACCCAAATCAGCCCAAATCGGCCCAAAACTACACAAATCGTTCTAGCATTACGTAAGTAATGAAGAAATATGGTATATTTACTTACTATAATGTTGGTGCTATACGTAGAACATGATCAAACCTATTTTTACTCTGAAATAATCTAATTTCATAACGAAATGAGACGTAAATATGTGAGAGGTGACGCCATAGGAAGTCGACGGTCCAAGCGACAATTGTGTGGAGCGACTTATCCAAGATATATGGTCGCCTGGAGAGTGTTTGCTGCCATATCAGCCTCCTGTACACAGTGATCCAGTCTTTTTCGTTCATTGAACACGGAACCCTACACGCCCTCTGATATATTGCTTAATTAACAAATATTCACAAATAAAGATTATATTTGTATATGTTATCAGAAAGGCAGATATAAAATAGTTTTTGTGAATCCATCACAGAGATTATACCTTATTAGAGAGGAAAAATATTCATACTTTAAACAAGGCTTCATGGCCGACGCTCTCCTTACCAATATAGAAACTATGACCTTCCGAAGATCAATGTTAATTTAATCTAGATATTGTAATAAATGAAGTTTTTTATGTCATCATAAAGACATAAATATAAGCTGCATGTTAATACTTTGGCATAAATATAACTGAACTAAGGTTTGAGTTGAATACAGACACATCAGTGTTGGGAATTCTATAGACTGCACCCACAGACAGGACAGACTCGGCACCCTTGACTCTGAAGCTGGCGAAGATATACTCCCCATAGCAGTCTCTAGTTCTAATTTCTTTTAGGCATGTTAGTTCTTGGTGGTAGTAAAGAGCAGTGCCACCACCTCTCTGAAGTTGACGACAGTTGTGAATTGCTGAGTAGTTAGGCATGTTAAAGAGTTGAGTAGTATCCTCTTTCAACCATGTTTCAGTAAGTATAATAAAAGAGAATTTGTTGCCAATAGTTTCAATCGAAGTGTTTAAATACTTTGCATATATGCAAAGTAACGCCATAGGTCTTTAGTTCTGGGTCTAATCCATCACAGAGATTATACCTTATTAGAGAGGAAAAATATTCATACTTTAAACAAGGCTTCATGGCCGACGCTCTCCTTACCAATATAGGAACTATGACCTTCCGAAGATCAATGTTAATTTAATCTAGATATTGTAATAAATGAAGTTTTTTATGTCATCATAAAGACATAAATATAAGCTGCATGTTAATACTTTGGCATAAATATAACTGAAGTGAAAGTGAAGATATATGCCTTTTTATAGTTGATGGCTCGCTCAGGGAGTGTGAAGGCCTCCACACAAGCCAATCAATTTTATAAATACTTTGCATATATGCAAAGTAACGCCATAGGTCTTTATGTCAGAATAAAGACATGTAGACGATAATGTAACTACATTTCAAGGAAAACATATCTTAATATAATTATTAAATGAATGCAAAGTTATGGTTAAATAAATAGCCAATACCACACAATCGCCGGTGTCCGGACACATGAATAGTCACATTAGGTGAAAGGAAATGTACCCAACCATTTCCATTTACCCAACCAGTTTGTGCACCCTATACTCATCCTCTGTGCGGTAATTTATTGTGCACCCCATACTCATCTTGTTACCAGTAGTTTGTGCAACCCATACTCATCCTGTGACCCGTAATTTATTGTGCATCCCATACTCATCCTGTTACCGGTAGTTTGTGCAGCCCATACCCATCCTGTGACCTGTAATTTATTGTGCAACCCATACTTATCCTGTGACCTGTAGTTTATTGTGCAGCTAATACTCATCCTGTGAGTCATAGGACATTGCGCAACCCTTTCTCATCGTGTGAATCTTTGTTTACTTTGCTCTCCATATTCATCCTCTGCGCGATAGTTTCTTGTGCAACCCATACCCATGATGTGAGTGGTAGTTTATTGTGTACCCTATACTCATCCTGTGAGTATAGGGTACACAATTCTTGTTTGGATTCTTGTAATGTTATTTGTCTATTTGTACTCACAGCATTTGTGCGCCCCTTGAGGGACTTGAATTAGAGGCGGGGTTGAAATAGCCTAAGCTACTCTATCCCTTTGAGATGTATTTATTGCTTATCTCAATAAACATACTTGAACTTGAACTTGGGTACACAATGAGTTCATTTGTACTCCATACTCATCATCAAGAAGTGTATTTTACCAGCATTGTAATATAAATTAAGAATAAAAGCTTAACTGGATTCCGGACCCATAATCAAAATAAGAGCCATCACTAATTATCATGACAAATTGTCTAGGCTAGTTCAAGTTCAAGTATGTTTATTGAGATAAGCAATAAATACATCTCAAAGGGATAGAGTAGCTTAGGCTATTTCTACCCCCCTCTACTTAAAGTCCCTCAAGGGGCGCACAAATTCAGTGAGTACAAATAGACATATAACAGTACAAGAATCCCATTTAACATTGCATACAGCAAGTACAGCATATAATTGTTACATTCTTGGGGCAAAATTCTTGTAGCTCCTAAGTATACTGTCTATTATACCATTATCACACATCCAAACAATTTGATGTGGTACACTATTTACTTCCTTATTTCTATATTTTTCAATAAGGTGACACTCTAATACATAATGTTCTAAGGTGTGGGCGTGCGGCATACTACATAATTTACACTCCTTATCTTTTTCACTGACATCAACACCGTATTGCCAGATATATTTATATCCTAATCGTAATCTCATGTAAATTGAATCCTTCCAAGTAGACTTTCCTTTACCATAAGTGAAGGACGAATTTGTATTTATTATTGAATAATTCTTAAGTGTGTTACTACTGTCCACCATTGCCATTCTCTTTATCATTTCGTCACCCTCCTGAATCACCTTGAGTCTTGTTTTTATTTGTTTCAAGGTTAACTGACATACAACATCAACAAGAGTTTTTTCAGTGGCTGTCTTCGCTATGTCATCAACTACCTCATTCAACAGTATCCCCACATGTGGAGGGATCCACATGAATCTTACTTTATACCCAGTTTTTCTAGTTTTTTTTTTTTTTTTTTTTTTTTTTTTTTTTTTTTTTTTGAGATATATACAAGAGTTGTTACATTCTTGTAGAGCCACTAGTACGCGTAGCGTTTCAGGCAAGTCCTTAATCCTATGGTCCCTGGAATACGATCCCCTGCCGCGAAGAATCGTTGTTACAACCAAGTACACATTTTACTGTTGCGTTAAACAGAGGCTACAGTTAAGGAATTGCGCCCAGTAAATCCTCCCCGGCCAGGATACGAACCCATGACATAGCGCTCGCGGAACGCCAGGCGAGTGTCTTACCACTACACCACGGAGACTGCCTTGTCTCTTAACATTCTCTCTACACTCTATCACAATATTCTGATATACTGGGCGTCTGCTATTTAAAGACTCTAACGCTCCTCTGCTGTCAATAAAGAAGCAAGCATTTTTACCACATTTGACTACTTCCTGTAATCCTGCTAATACTCCTTGGAGTTCAGCCTGCGTTGAAGAGACATTGTCAGTTAAGATCAAGACTCCACATCCTGCCTTCCCATCCCTAGCTACTGACCCATCACAATATACATGTAGAGTGTTTTCCGTAGGCAGTTTTCTAATTATACAATCATATGTTGCCCTCAGCTCTCCTATTTCATACATACTTTTTTTCTTATGCAAGGGAGTAATTACTACATCCCGCACCCCCAGTCCTGGAAGGGCGGGCATTGGGATGTGGACATGTGTACTGTCTCAGACCCTGTTGGAATATAACCAGTCTGTCAATCGGGTCAACCCAAGTGTTGCGTTTCCATGCGTTTCCAAAAGGGTCGCCCATGTTGGAATCGGTGAACGCCCTAGTAATATTGTTGAAAACATCTTAATAACTTATTAAACCAAAGGTCTTTTTATGTCAGAAGAACGGCAGAAACTAGATCTATATATGAAAACTCTTTCAGGACAAAATTTAAAGTAAAACTAGATTATGCAAAACTAGATTAAAGTAAATTTATGTTTCTATCTTTCTTGAGACGTATAAAAATCTTACGTTTATTAACGATTCTGCGTGAAATAAGCATTGTTCTGAGATGAATATTGCGGATTTCCGGCTCTACGACCGATGAAAAATGCAACTTTTATACAACTACAAATATCTTTAGTTTTACTTTAAATTTTGTCCTGAAAGAGTTTTCATATATAGATCTAGTTTCTGCCGTTCTTCTGACATAAAAAGACCTTTGGTTTAATAAGTTATTAAGATGTTTTCAACAATATTACTAGGGCGTTCAATGGCTGTTAAGTTGAAAATTGTAACTGTTAAGAGCATTCTATTGTGGTTTTAATATTGAACAATTATACATATACGAAACAGACAAATCTGGTGTCCGAAATAGTAAAAATATTAGTGTGCGATGTGATCAATGTAAGGGGGATATTGGGTGTGCCTCGTATCCCCTACAACAACAAGAAG